AATATGTCAATCTTTCTATTCACCTACTTTAGAAAAGGAAAAATAAAATTAGGACGCTAACATTTTCATTGTTATTTGATGACATACATTATTATATTCTTATTTGAGATGAATATTTTATGTGGATCGTTCAAACTTAATGGATTGAAAGCCACATCTGCAAATTTCGTTGACTTTAATTACCGAAATGACGACATTGAATATTTTCATATAGTTTATGGACTAGATTAAATATTTTTGAATACTTCAAGAACCACATTAAACAAATTGAAAGTCTAGAGACGACATTACACACCGGACCAAAGTTTGTCGATCATTTGTATCATTTTTCCTAAATGAAAATGTCATTTAAAGAATATGACGCTGTGGAAATATATCCATATATTGTAAAATAAAATAAAATTTGAATTTGTGAAAAGCGAATAGTATTCAAACTCTTCTTTTCTATTCAAATATATGTCATCTGGCCATAATTATATGTCTATTTTAGCTCAATTTTAGGTTTAAACTTGCAGGTTGTATCTTGTAAGTCCGATTGACAAATGTTCTTACTTACAACTCCAAATAACATACATACAAAACCATCGACAGTGATTAAAAAAAAAAAAGGAGAATAAACACGCGTGAAAATAAGTTTGTCAATATATGCTGGCCACGTAACTAGTTGCTCTTGGCTACGAAGGAATATGATAAGCACAAATTCTCATTTTGTTCTTAGTTGCAATGGATTCCAAACCTTGTTATGTTAATGCTTATTTAATCAAGAGAAGAAGAATCACTATAAGTCGGATTTGGCAACCAGTTGACCGGAAAAAACGAACAGAAGAGGTAGCTCTTGCCAACCACACAATTGTAACCCCACACTCTCCTTTTCCATCAGTAACTTGAATCGCGAGCGAATCGATTAATTCACTAGCAGATGAACAATTCGACACATATCTATCTTTTCAACCGATTCATAATTTCTTGCATGTTTATTTCCCATCAAATGATGTAACTTCTGTCGTATTTTTCCACTTGATTCTATATTTTGGAAGTTACGGAAGGAACAAATGTAAATTTTTATTCTTTGCAATATACTTATAAATGAAACAACAAATAAAGAATTATTTCTTTAGATATAGATGAGGAAAATTATCATAAAGTCCTAAAACTATTGCAATTGTGCCAATTTAGTCATAAACTTTTTTTTACCAATTAAATCCTAAACCTTTTACAATTGTGCCAATTGAATCCGTCCGGCCAAATTGGCCGGAAATCATTAACGTGGACGCCGGCCGTCTTACGTGGCACGGCAGATTGAAACTGACGTGAAAAATTTTTACAATATTTTAATATTTTTTAAAATTTATTATTTTTCTTGTCTTTTCCTTCTTTACTTTTTTCTTTTTATCTTTTTTTCCCCTTCTCTTCTTTTCTTTTTTTTCTTTTTCCCTTTTTCCCTCCGCCAGCCATCATCGGGCCTCATTGATTCTGCTAGCCTCAGGTGAGGGCTGCCCGATCTAGCCCTCGCTGGCCCCTGGCATGGGTGACCCTCGCCTTAGGTCGATGGAGGGAAAAAAAAATTAAAAAAAAGAAAGAAAACAAGAGAAATAGAAAAAGTAAGGGAAAAAGCCACAAAAAATTTCGAACTATACCCATTGTGACACATTTACCCCAAACTTTTTTTGTGATACCAAAAACCCTAAAATATGCCCATTGTGACACATTACCCCAAACTTTCTTTTATGACACCAAAAACTCTAAACTATGCTCAATGTGACATGTCGGAGCCTCGTCATATTTTAACGATGATTTTTAACGGAACCCATACGGAGGGTAAAATTGTCACATTGAGCATAGTTTAGGGTTTTTTGTGTCACAAAAAAAGTTTTGCGTAAATATGTCTCATTGCGCATAGTTTGGGATTTTTGGTATCACAAAAAGAAGTTTGGGGTAAATGTATCACAATGGGCATAGTTCAGGATTTTTGGTGGCTTTTTCCCAAAAAGTAAATAAGAAAAAGAGAAAAAAATGAAAAAATAACGGAAACATAAAAAAATCAATTAAAATTCAAAAAAAAATATTAAAATATTATTTAAAATTGTTCACGTTAGCACCGGCCGCACCACGTAAAACGGCTAGCGTCCACGCCAGCAATTTTTTATCAAAATGGCCCAAATTGACTCAATTGGCACAAATGCAAGGTTTAGCACTCAATTGACAAAAAAAAATGTTTATGACTGAATTGACACAATTGCAATAGGTTTAGAACTTTTTTGGTAATTTTCTTGATATAGATGTGATCCTTGTGTCGACAAAGCAATGAGAATTATTTTATGCATAGAAAAGCCATCCTCGATTTTGTGATTTCTTTTCATAGATTATGGATCTTGCTTAAAATATTTGGCATAGTATAATATATATGCCCATCACACAAAAAATTAATTTTAGATATTTTATCGAATCTTACTATATGATTTGCACTCTCGATTCATGAATCCATGAGTTCATTATTTTAAGGGTTAATACCACGAAAAACCCTAAACTGGTACACTTGTGACACATTTACCCCAAACTATTTTTTTGACCACAAAAAACCCCAAACTGGTACACCTGTGACAATTTTACCCCGAACTTACAACAAAAAGCCCCAAACTGATACACACGTGACAATTTTACCCCGAACTAATTTTTAATATTTTTTTGAATTTTTTCTTTTTTTTTTTCTTCATCTTCAACCTCTGGCCGGTCGCCAAACCGGCGACCGGCTAGAGGCTGATGCCGGCAAGGTTGGCCTCGCCGTCCGCTGGTGAGGCTCGACCTTGCCGGCCGCTGGCGAGGCTCGACCTCGCCGGCCGCTGGCGAGGCTCGACCTTGCCGGCGTGGGCGAGGACAGCCCTCGCCTGCCCAGGCGAGGGCTGTCCTCGTCCGACGCCGGTGAGGGCAGCCCTTGCCCAACGTAGGCGAGGGTCGCCCAACGCAGGCGAGGGTCACGCTCGCCAGATCCGATGAGGGCAGCCCTCGCCCGATGCCGGCGAGGCTCGACCTTGCCGGCGTGGGCGAGGGCTGACCTCGCTCGACTCAGGCGAGGGTTGCCCTCGCCCGCCCAAGCGAGGGCTGTTCTCGTCCGACGCTGGCGAGGGTAGCCCTCCCCCGACGCAGGCAAGGGTCGCCCTCGCTAGATCCGGCGAGGGCTGACCTCGCCTGATCTGGCGAGGGTGACCCTTGCCTACGTCGGGCGAGAGCTACCCTCGCCGGCGTCGGGCGAGGACAGCCCTCGCTCGACTCAGGCGAGGGTTGCCCTCGCCCGCCCAGGCGAGGGCTGTCCTCGCCCGCCCAGGCGAGGGCTGCCTCGCCCGACGCCGGCGAGGGCGGCCCTCGCCAGCGGCCGGCGGGGCCGACATCGCCGGCTTCCGCCTCTGGCCGGTCGCCGGTCCGGCTACCGGCCAGAGGTTGAAGATGAAGAAAAAAAAGAAAAAAATTAATAAAAATTCGAAAAAATAAAATAAAATATTAAAAATTTAATTCAGGGTAAAATTGTCACATATGTACCAGTTTGGGGTTTTCTGTGGTAAGTTCAGGGTAAAATTGTCACAGGTGTACCAGTTTGGGGTTTTTGATGGTCAAAAAAATAGTTTGGGGTAAAATTGTCACAGGTGTACCAGTTTGGGGTTTTTTGTGATCAAAAAAATAGTTTGGGGTAAATGTGTCACAAGTGTACCAGTTTAGGGTTTTTCGTGGTATTAACCCTTATTTTAATTCACAATACATATATCCATTTGCGGATGTGTAATTGGTAGTGCTGTCAAAATGGGTCTATGAATTTTCCACGCCAAATTCATATGTTCGTTCTAGTGCCTCAGTGAGCTCGTCTATGGCCTTCGTCGCCTCAAGCTCGTCCCTCTTATGGGTCTGGATCGAGGCCTCTGTGGACTCAAGCTGGAACTGTAGCTCCGAGACGAGGTCACTCAACACCGAGGCTCTGCTCCGGGCGCTCTCGATATGCCCTGTAGTTTCTCGAGCTCGTCGAGGATAGGGCGAGAGTCTAGCCACGACTGCATTGCTCTGTCTCTGGCTTTCCTGATCTCATCCTTCATTCTGGTAAGTTGGGTGAGTGACATCCATGTCTCTTCGTGTTTGCGACTTAGCTGTGATAATCCTTTGGATATGTGTCGGTTAATGTCCCGGATTGTGATAGCTCATCCTTCGATAAGTTGGGACCTCTGACACAGATTGGGTTTTGTCTCCCGGGCTGCTACTTCATCTGGATAAGGCTTCTTACAGGAAGATAGATAATGGAGAGATCGTATAGCCCCGTAGTATTTTGATTTAAACAATGTTCTATCAATTCTGAGTAATGTCTTTGTTCCTCGTACATCGAACACCTCCCTGTGCGGGGGACACCCATGAACCACTAGGTGAACATGAAAGGCTGGGTCAGTTGAATATCTGGTTATTATTGTCCTCTTCTTTCTTCCTTCAACTTGTTTAAATTGCTTAATATCCTGTTCATTTCTTGAAATCTTGAAGACAGAGCACTTGGCTTTAAGTCATTAACTGCAACTTCTAGCTCAAATCATCTGGCCTGACTGAATATGACGTGACTGGAAAGAGATGTTATTGAAGGTCGCACAGATTTGAGGATCTCAACTTTGGCAGGTCAAGATATGGAGATGGACAGGTTCCGTATCCCTACATGTTGGAAAAAAGCTTGCAGCTGAAGGCATGCACGAGTGCTCGCCTTCCCTCTGTAAGTCCTCAACTCCTATGCATCTGCGAAGCCCTTGATGTTCTGTCCAAGAGTCTGGTTTGGCAAATCAATAACGGCTCTCGAATCATGTGAGAGCAACGTGCAAGGCTGGTGAGTGGGTGACCTGAAACAACGATGCAGTTTGGTGTTGACACTAGTTTTCGGGTTTGGAGAGTTGGTTATCCTAGTTTTATCTAGGAAACTCTAACTAGCAAATGATAACAAATAATAAACCATCAAAGAAGATACATACTACCTTACTTAATCATGGAGATCAAATGGAAGTCTAAACATGAAGGGTTAATTCCGAGGTACATATGAAGAAATTTATATGAAGTGGATAATACCCAAAATCAAATCTCAAATTACGATCTACAATTTACAATTCAAACTGATTATTGAATAAAGTGGACTATATTGTATTTGGGAGCAATGCTGAGGAATCTGAATGAGAGGATTGTATAGAAGAGGTTGTAAATGTGGATACTTCGGTGCCGCTGGTCGAGGTGGCATGGGACGAAACAATTGATGCTTGAGAGAATGGAACTGGCAATTTCGATGGGAGAACGGGCGGTGGAGCATTATAGTTGAGAACGCTAAATGCTTCTTTTATGGAAGGACGGGCAATGTGGTCTGGATGAGCACACCACAACCCTACAACCATCAAGTATTCCAGTTGCTTTTCATCGAAATCAGTACCAAGTTTCGACTCTGCCGCATCAAGTATCCTCCCAGTTCCATACAGCTCCCAAACCCAATCTACTAGCCGAACTTGGCCTTCCTCGGCCCTTGGTTCGATAACTTTTCTTCCACAAGCTATTTCCAAGAGGACAACTCCAAAGCTATAGACATCTGATTCCCTACTTGCCTTGCCCGTATAAACGCATTTAGGAGCTATATAGCCCATGGTTCCGGCCAACACCGTCGTTTGTAACCCTTTGGCATGATCAACTAGCCTAGCCAAACCGAAGTCCCCTAATTTAGCATTGAAATCGGAATCGAGCATGATATTGCTAGACTTTATATCCCGGTGCACGACGCATTGTTCCCATTCTTCATGGAGGTAGAGTAATGCCGAGGCTATGCCTTGCGCGATTTTGTACTGCTTCTCCCATGGCAAGAAGGTTCGTTCTTTGAATAGATGAGAATCGAGACTACTATTAGACATGAACTCATAGATAAGGAGGAGTTCTTTTTTCTCATGACACCATCCGATGAGTTGAACTAAATTTCTATGTCGGAGCCGGCTTATGGTCTTCACTTCGGTGGCGTACTCTTTTATCCCTTGTCTTGACCCTGAGCTAATCTTCTTGATTGCAACACTAGCATTCATGCTGGTCAAGTAACCTTCGTACACTCTCCCAAAGCCACCTTCCCCAAGCAATCGCTCGATTGCGAAGTTATCGGTTGCAGCGACCAAGTCCTTGTAGGAGAATTTCTTGGGCCCCGACACTTGCTCGAATTCTTCTTCGATCGCCGGATCATCTTCTTCTCCACTCGTGTAAGTTCTCTTTCTCTTCGAACGGTGACGAAACCAAATAAAGGCTACAATGAGAATGAGCAAAATGAAAGAACCTAAGCCTAAGACAGCCCATAGCCATAACTTGCTCTTTTTTCCAGCCACTTGCACATTAGAGCTGAATTCCCATGCGGCAAGAGTGTGCAACTCGAAAAGTGTACCCGTTGTAGCCGAGAAACCAAAAGTCACCCACTCCGGCAAATACTTTGTCATGTCAACTATATCATAAATAACGGAGGAATTTATGTCGGCACCCATAGCATCAGCATCTATCATGAGAACACTCAAATTTTGCGTGCTAGAATTGTATGTTATCGTAGCGTTGATCCGCCCACCACTCATGATTTTATCCCTGAACCAGTCGACGCAGCAGGAGACCGTGGAAGTTAGATTATTCAAGTCTATACCAACATGTGAACAATTCGGGTCCATAACACCATCGGAGTTGTTGATGTGAGGGTCGAACTCGACGGCTACAAACGAAGTAGAAGAGTTGGCAGGGCTGCAGTTCGGACTTACAAGAGCAAGGTAGAGTCCCGACGAGTTAACTGGGAGTTGAGCTCCTTCGGGGACAAGAAAGAAGGTCATTCCGTCAGCAAATATTGACTTTCCTAACGAATCGATGACGAAGGTGAATTGGGTGCTGAAATCCGCCACGTTCCCGGTGGCTTTATCCCAAAGGCGCATCGGCTTGTGGTATGTGGCCCATCCCTCGCTCCAGTCGTGGTTCTCTCCTAGATTGGCTACCGTCAGTTGGATGGCGCCATTCCGATTGGGCGTCGCATCACCTTGGCGTCGAATGACACTATCGTCGAAAGTCTGGAAGCTGAAATCGATGCCCTGAGACGATGCTGAAGCCGTGAAGGAAATGGCTAGGGAGAGAACCAAGACTAAGAGTGATCGAAGCTCTCTGGTCATGAAACTTTTGATATCTGAGTTGCGAAGTTCCATCCTCGTTGAAGATTCAAGATTGCTCTTGATATCAGGAACTTAGCACAGATTTTTGGTGCTTTGACATTGTTACATGCACATACATATATGTACGTGGCGTGGCTCCCCTATAGACTTAGCCTTTCGGTTCTCGAACAACTTGCGATCGATCTTGGAACGGTTCAACGGAAGCCCAAAATGAGAGTGCATCACATGAGCTTCCACGACGACTAGTCTCTAAGGCTTTGAAAAAATAAAACAAAAATAGAACACGTCGTGTCAGAAGAAAAAGGATCGTCGCAAGGAAAATACAATGGAACTTTCTCGACTTCCGTATGAACGCAAAGAAAAAGAGGAGTGAATCGCACTAGATCTAGGTGACAGAAGGTTCGGTTAAGGAGACTTTGTCAATATTATGCGGTCAACAAAAAACAACTGACCATCAGCACGGAGCCGCATATTTGACCTTTACATTCAATTGATTTTTATTGCCCTTCCCATATCTGATAATTGATGTGAAACAAAATAATTAATATATTTTAATTAACTTACAATTTATTAATTTAAGCTTTTAAATAAATATGAGTCTAACACAACATATATTGATAGGTTTAGATTTGGGCTCCCTCTTAACGATTTCCTTAATAAAGGTATTAGGGGTATCAAAAATATTCGGATCCAAACCAAACCGGAACGAAATTTTCGGATCTTTTTAGGTTGGTTTCCTTCCGGTTCTGTTATTAAATATTAAAGAGAACAGGTACATAAACATTTGGTCTTCCTCCTAAAGAAAGCCCTCCAAGAAAAACTCCTTCAAGGTGTCTTTTGCACCTTGAACCGACCCGAACTGCATTTATGGTTCAGGTCCTCTACAATACGGGCTGCAAACACACATGTGGCAAACACATTCGAGTCAGTTAAGTATCATAGAAATCCAAACCGTTGACACCCCTAATATCGATCTTCTGTTGCAAATCCCCAACAAATAGAGTGAACGAATTAAATATTGATACTGGTTTTTTCTCCCCATTTCTTTAATTCATTCAGTTCATAAACAGCTGAACGCTTATCTTTTATTCTTCTATTACGCCCTACAGGTCTAAAACACAAACACTATTAACTTTTAATTCTTACGATTAGTTATGCCACAAGCTGGTAATTCACATTTTCCCATCAAGTAAATTCAAGTTCCTAAGCGAAAGAGAAAATCTCTCCTGCCTTCCGGTTGCCTTGAATTCCATTAAATTTGGACAAGTGTGGTCAATCCTCAACCGTGTTTTTTTAACTCAAATCCACGTCGGATGACAGCACACGATGGTTGAAAAGTCTCAACCATGTCATGTGATGTCTCTCTCTTTTGAAAAGAGGCGACTTCCAGCTAGAGAGACACGTCCAGCTTGTTCAGAATTGGACTTTTGCCGATGCTTGAGAAGAAAAAAAATCCATCAAATTGGAAGCTTGCTGGAAGTTGTTCTCTTGTGAGAAATAATTTCCAGTAGTTTACGTCTATACGGAAAAAAATTAATCAATATTATAAAGTGGAAAACCAAGTTAATTTTAATTGGGTTAATACTCTGAAAAATCTTAAACCGGTACACCTGTGACAAATTTACCCACAATTAGTTTCCGTTAAATTTTATGGTCAAATTGCTAAGTTGAATGACATGTGGCAATTGACAGATGTACCAATTTGGGGTTTTACTCTCCGTTTGTCTCAGATATACTAGTTTATGATTTTTCGTGGTATTAATTCAATTTAACAGATAGTATATTCGTCACAAGTGTACCAATTTAGAGTTTTTGGTGGTCAAAAAAATAGTTCAGGATAAATTAATCACAGGTGTATCAATTTAGGGTTTTTAGTGATGAAAGAATTAGTTTTGAGTAAATTTGTAATAATTATACCAGCTTGATATTAACCTATTTTAATTTCATGAATTCTATTACCTTTATGTTCCAAACCACCTTCCGTCAAATGCGAATGTCTAGTTTGTCAAGAGATTCATGGTCATGGCACCCATTTGAGTCACATCAATGACTATTCAATTTTGACTTACTAGTGGATTATAAATTTTGATTAGCACAACATTTTTCCCTACCAATTTAAAAAAGCGCCCACTGAGATGCTAGGTAGGGTTTTGGGGACCATTTTGTTTATCATATTATTTTTCGAGCAATTTTATCCAATTTAGTGCCAACTCGACGTTTAGCAAAAAAAAGAAAAGAAAAGAGAAAAATTCGTATAACAAAACAAAACATAAAATCCGGCACAATTACTCCAACAGTGTTCATATTCGAATCTGTCCCTTTTTTCTTTTTTTTTTCTTTTTTATTTAGAGCATTTGAATCTCTCTATGATCCGTACATTAAGTCAACTTTGAATCTAAGTAAGTAAAAAAAAAAACATTAGAATCATATCATCAAAATTTTCATGAACTTCGCGTATTAAACAGATTACGGCAATATCAGTTAGTAGGTTACGTGGTTAAAAAGCATTTCGCGACAGTGAGTGCCTATTAACGGAGAATTAACCATTTGAGATAAATTTTCTCATCACAAAAAATAAATGCCAGACATTCGTTTTAGTAGGAATTTAAATAAAACAGATAATATCCAAAACAAATTTTGAAGTCGAATTTCCAAGTCGAATTGATTATCGATAAATGTACAGAAAGTAGGAAATCATCCGGTATTTGGGAGCAATGCAGAGGAAGCTGAACAAGAGGATTGCATAGAAGAGGTAGTGAATGTGGACACTTCGGTGCTGCTGGTAGCGGTGTTATGGGAGGAAACAATGGATGCTGTAGAGAATGTGGATAGAGGCGCCAGATATGTAGGGATTGGCAACTTCAATGGGAGAATAGGCAGCGGAGCGTTAAAGTTGAGAACATTTAACACTTCTCTTATGGAAGGACGGGCAGTGGGGTCCGGATGACTACACCAGAGCCCTACAGCCATCAAGCACTCCAGTTGCTTTTCAACGAAATCGATACCAAGTTTTGAGTCTACCGCATCAAGTAGCCTCCCGGTCCCATAAAGCTCCCAAACCCAATCCACCAGCCGGACTTGGCCTTCATTGGCTCTTGGCTCGATAACTTTTCTTCCACAAGCTATTTCTAATAGGACGACTCCAAAGCTATAAACATCTGATTCCTTACTCACTTGACCCGTGTAAACGCATTCAGGAGCCATATAGCCCATGGTTCCGGCCAACACCGTCGTTTGTAACCCTTTATCATGGTCAACTAGCCTAGCCAAACCAAAGTCTCCTAATTTAGCATTGAAATCGGAATCAAGCATGATATTGCTAGCCTTTATATCCCGGTGCAAGACGCATTGTTCCCATTCTTCATGAAGGTAAAGCAATGCCGAGGCTATGCCTTGCGCGATTATGTACCGCTTCTCCCATGGCAAGAAGGTTCGTTCTTTGAATAGATGAGAGTCAAGGCTACCATTAAACATGAACTCATAGATAAGGAGGAGCTCCTTTTTCTCATGACACCACCCGATGAGTTGGACTAAGTTTCTGTGCCGGAGCCGGCTTATGGTCTTCACTTCGGTGGCGTACTCCTTTATCCCTTGTCTAGACCATGGGCTAATCTTCTTGATTGTAACATTAGCATTCATGCTTGTCAAGTAACCTTCGTACACTCTCCCAAAGCCCCCTTCCCCAAGCAACCGTTCAATTGCGAAATTATTAGTCGCCGTGACCAAGTCCTTGTAGAAGAATTTCTTGGGCCCCGACACTTGCTCGAATTCTTCTTCAATCGCTAGATCATCTTCTTCTCCACTCATGTAAGTTCTCTTTCTCTTCGAATGGTGCCGAAACCAAATAAACGCTAGAACAAGAATGAGAAAAATGAAAGAACCTGAGCCTAAGATGGACCATAGCCATAGCTTGCTCTTTTTTCCAGCCACTTGCACATTAGAGCTGAATTCCCATGCCTCAATAGTGTGCAACTCAAAAAGCAAACCAGTGGTAGCCGAGAAACCAAAAGTCACCCACTCCGGCAAATACTTTGTCAGGTTGACTATATCATAGATGGCAGAGGAACTTATGTTGGTACCCGTGGCATCGCCGTTTGTCGTGAGAACACTCAAGTTCTGTGTGCTAGAATTGTATGCTATCGTAACGTTGATACGCCCACCAGTCATGATTTTATTCTTGAACCAATCGATGCAGCTATGGACTGTGGAAGTGAGATTATTCAAGTCTATACCGACATGTGCAACTTGTGAACAATTCGGGTCCACGACATTGAGATTGGGAGCGTTATTGCGGAACGTGTCGAACTCGACGGCTACAAATGAAGTAGAAGAATTGGAAGGATTGCGGTTCGGATCTACAAGAGCAAGGTAGCGTCCCGACGAGTTGGCCGGGAGTTGAGACCCTTCGGGGACAAGAAAGAAGGTCAATCCATCGGCGAAACTCGACTCTCCTAGAGAATTGATGACGAAGGTGAATTGGGTGGTGAAATCCGCCACGTTCCCGGTCGCCTTATCCCAAAGGCGCATCGGCTTGTGGTACGTGGCCCAGCCCACGCTCGAAGAGAGGATCTTGTCTCGATTGGCCTCTGTAATTTGGATGAAGCTGCTCGTATCATACGTCGCATCGCCTTGACGTTGAATGATACTATCGTTGAAAGTCTGGAAGCTGAAATCGATGCCCTGCGAGGACGCCGAAGCAGTGAAGGCAATGGCTAGAGAGACAACCAAGACTAAGAGTGATCGAAGCTCTCTGGCCTTGAAACTCTGGATATCTGATTTGCGAAGTTCCATACTCGTTGAAGTTTCAAGATTGCTCTTGAAATCAGGGACTCAGCAGTAAAAACAGCCTTTTTGTGTTTTGACCGAGGTTTTTGGTTCTTGAACAACTTGCGATCAATCTCGGAACGGTTTAATGTTAACGAAACGGAGAGAGTCTGCGCCAGCACGGTCTTCCAAGACGACTAGCCCCTAGACTTGAAATACAAAAAAGGAACACTGTGTATCAAGAGAAACAATCATCGCGAGTATTAATATAATCTAAAAGAGTCATGTCAACAAATGTGGAGGTGGCCTTTCATAATTAATGAATTAGGAAAACTTTCGATTGCGAAGCAATGACGACACCAACGAGAAAAACCAATCCCATTGAAAATTGTCGATTTCCTTTGTTGGTCATTAAACATGAATTCTCGAGCATGTGTTGAGCTACTTTTCATTCTTGAATATGATTGAATTGTGTAAAGAGCCGCTCATAATCAGACGCATCATTTATAAGTTCATTTCGTGAACCATATTCAAGAAGTCTAGCACTGCTCTAATATCAAACAGTCATTGATTATGCATGTGTTAAACATAAGATGATTGAGAATTTCGGAAAGGGGGATCGAAAACTGCTTGTTACCGTTCATATTATGTGATGCAAGGAAAAACACGAGTTCATTGTACCGGGACAACATGACAAAAGGTTAGGTTGAGGAGATTTCTCAGTTTTTTGTTATTCGGTCAAAAACAACGGCCCTTGCAAGACCGCTAATGTCAAAAACAACATGACTTACATTTGATGCAACAAGTCGGTAGATCGTGTTCCTCCATTTTTTAAGGGAAGATGTGGAAATTTTGGCAAAAGAAAGAAAACCTCATTTACGTAGAAGACAAAAGGCCGCAAACATGATTTTCAATGAAAATCTCGAAGAGAAACCCCCCACGGAAATGCCTCTTTCCTTCTCTCAAAAGAAATGAATCTTCAACAAGAATCGTATGATAGCAAAGAAAAAGTGATGCACCTAGGGGATCGGCAGACCCGTTATGCGACTGGACGAACCGGCGGGCTTGAAGTCAATAATGTCGGATTGAGCTCAGATTTGGTCGGCTGAAGCGAAACGGTGTGCTGATCAATACACGTAGCCTATGGCTACGATTAACGATGGATTTTCACGATTCAGGGTCGTTTAGATGGTTTTTTTTAATTATTTTAGTAATTTTCGAATTAAGGGTATTTTTGTATTTTTTGCGTTTTTTTTGTCATTAGGGTTAACACCCTTTATAAACTCGTTTTTAGGGTTTTGAGAGGCAGTAGTTTTTGGATGTTTTGAAAACTTATCGATTGTTAATCGATTGAGAGAACAGTTTGTTTCTCGTTATCATTTCGATTCTTCTGTTTAGCCTAATTTTTATCGCGCTTCGGCATCAATTGGTATCAGAGCACAGGTTGCTTGAATCAATGGCTGAATAGAATCGCAGTCGTGGACGGCGGGCTCGTGGTGGCCGGGGGCGTGGAGGCGTTCCTGAAGCAGACGACCAACCGCGTCTAAGAGATCTGCGAGACGTAGAAATTGAAGAACAGAGAAGACGAATCCAGGATTTGGAGCGACAACTTGCGGAGGCGAGGTTGGGCGTTCAATCCGAAGAAGAAGCAGAATCTGAGGATCCATCCGATGATGAAGAGGAGGACGTAAACCCTTTCGGGGTTCTGAACCAGGGGCGGAATCGAGGAGTACGACCTGAAAATCAGCGTTCTTCGCAAATTTTCGGGATGAAGATCGAGATTCCCTAGTTTAATGGTAAGGCTCATCCTGATGAGTTTATTGATTGGTTGCATACGGTATAACGGATTTTTGATCTTAAAGACCTAACTGAGGGGCAAAAAGTGAAGTTAGTGGCTATTAGGCTACGAAAACATGCTTCGATTTGGTGGGAACACGTGAAAAAGCAACGCGCTAGAGAGGGGAAGCCGAAGGTGGATCGCTGGGAGAAGATGAAAAAGTTATTGCAGAAAAATTTTTTGCCTACCCATTATAGGCAAGAGGCATTTATCGAGTATCATAACGTCAAGCAAGGTGATAAAATAGTTGAAGAATTTACAGAAGAATTTGATCGCTTGCGGATACGTTGTGATGTGGTGGAGGAAGACGAGCAGACGATTGCACGATATCTTACAGGGCTGCGATATGAGATCTCTGATGTTGTCCAATTACAGCAGTATTGGACATATGAGGATGTGTGCAGACTAGCCCTAAAGGTGGAGGGGCAGTTTAAAAGAAAGAGCAGTAATTCTAAGTGGTCAGGCAGCAGTTCCAAGTGGTCAGATAAAGAATCCCAAGGAAAAGCGGGAACATCTGCAGTAAATTCGACACCGGTCACAGTTAAGGATGTGAGTTCTAAACCTGCATCCAACGAGGGGCAGAATAGTGCCGGAACTAGCAGGGGAGGAACTGCAGCCAAGCAGTGTTTCAAATGTCAGGAATTCAGGCATTTTGCTGCTGATTGTCCGAACCAACAGATTGTGACGCTTGTTGATAATCCAGTTTTTTATGAAGGCCCAGTTTATGATGAATCTGAAGGCGAAGAAGAGGATGCGGATGCGGATGCGGATGCGGAACAGGAAGAGATTATCTATGTTGATTCTGGTGAGTCCCTAGTCGTTAGAAGAATATTAAATGTTGCTGTAGCGGATGATGAATCATGGCTTAAACATAATATTTTTCATACTAAGTGCACTAGTAGAGGAAAAGTATGCAGCATGATAATAGATGGTGGGAGTTGCGAGAATGTGGTGTCCACGACTTTGGTGGAAAAGTTGGGGTTGAAAATAGAAAATCATCCTCAACCATACAAGCTGTCGTGGCTTAGAAAAGGGAACGAGGTGAAGGTGAGCAAAAGGTGTCTTGTGCAATTTTCGATTGGAAAAAATTACATCAATGAGGTGTGGTGTGATGTAATCCCAATGGATGCTTGCCATATTTTATTAGGGAGGCCGTGGCAGTTTGACAAAAAGACACAGCATGATGGTTTCAGAAATACCTATACCTTCAAGAAGGATGGCCGAACCATTACCCTAGGTCCTTCAGATTTGAGAAAGGAAGTGAAGAATAATCTGCTGTCCAGGTCAGAATTTCAAGAAGAGGCAGTGAACGCACCTGAGCTTTTTGCCATTGTGGTGATGGAGCAGAATTCTGACAGTCCCGAAATTCCTACCCAAGTTCTGCCCTTGCTTGAGGAGTCTGCTGATGTCGTACCGGAAGAGTTACCACCTGGGTTGCCGGGTGAGCACAATGTTTCTGGAACTTTTAATGTAGCAGATTTGTCACCTTACTACACTGAAGAGGAAGAAGACCCTAAAGAGATTGATGACAATGAAGACGAAGCAGATTCAAGGACGAATCTTTCTCTAGCAGGGGAGGATGATGCACCTAGGGGACCGGCAGACCCGTTATGCGACTGGACGAACCGGCGGGCTTGAAGTCAATGATGTCGGATTGAGCTCAGATTTGGTCGGCTGAAGCAAAACGGCGTGCTGATCAATACTCATAGCCTATGGCTATGACTAACGATGGATTTTCACGATTCGGGGTCGTTTAGATGGTTTTTTTAATTATTTTAGTAATTTTCGAAATAAGGGTATTTTTGTATTTTTTGCGTTTTTTTTTGTCATTAGGGTTAACACCCTTTATAAACTCGTTTTTAGGGTTTTGAGAGGCAGTAGTTTTTGGATGTTTTGAAAACTTATCGATTGTTAATCGATTGAGAGAAGAGTTTGTTCCTCGTTATCATTTCGATTCTTCTGTTTAGCCTAATTTCTATCGCGCTTCGACATCAAAAAGGCTTTTCTATAACTATGACTACCGTTCAACATTTTCATACCTTACATCAAGAAGACAAGTCCTCCCGAAAGAAAATGAAACCAAGAAATTATAATAATTGAAAGTGATCGAAAAGAGAAGTTGCATACCTTATAGATCCAACACCAATCTAAATCATTAATTATGATAGTCTCGTCGTAAGGTTCACATGATCAATTATCTATCGGTTTTTATCAACATAAGTCCATAGATCATCAAACATCTTTTCGAAAAGGTGGCCAAAGGAGACAAATTGCACATGAAAGGCAGGGCCATAGTCTTCAGTGTTTTATTTTTTTTTTGATAATCGAGGTGTCCGCGCGGCTGGCGAGCTAGGGCTTAAACCAGCGGTGATGCCCGACCAGTCCTCGAGGGGGGCTAGCGCAGCATCCCACCCCCACGACCCCCCCACTTAAATCACCGATGGGCGAGTTTTGAACCCAGGACCTCTCGTGAAAGGAACTGAGCGCAAACCAACGCGGCCATCGATGGGTGGGTAGTCTTCAGTGTTTTATTGCACTACCCTAAAGTAAAAAAAAGAATAGCTCCCCACAAACCAGCCCAATAAATTCAAGAAATCTATCAGGTGATCTTTTTCATCTGCTTAGGGTTGAACGAAAAAAGGGAGCTTTGTGTCCTAGCAGATTAAATTCTTTGGTAAGTAACAAATTGCATGAAAAATGGGTAAAAGTAAGGGAGTTTACCAAGATGTTAAATTTACCAATTCTTTTTATAAATTGTAAAGGAAAAATTGTCCAAAAAGTCATAAACCTATTGTACAGCGACCAATTCAGTCCTAAACCTTTCAATTTTGCCAATTCAGTCCTAAACCTTTTAAAAAGTTACCAATTCAGTCATAAACCTTTCAATCGTGCCAATTTAATCCTAAACCTATTAACTATTTATCAATTTAGTCATAAACCTTTTAATGAATTGCTAATTTTGTCATTCCGACTAATTTTGTCCGGAAATCGCTGACGTGGTGGTCCAGTCGGCGCTGGTCGTCCTACGTGGCGCTGACATGAATAACTTTATATATTTTTTTTTAAAAAATAGAATCTTTTATTGATTTTTATTGATTATTTTTTTTTATTCTTTTCTTTTCTTTTTTATTTTTCCTTTCTTCTTCGTTGAGCCAACAAGTCGCCGACCGAGGGCTGGCGGAGGTGGCCG